AGGCAAGGCATAGAGGAGAAACAATAATGTACATTATGTGAAAAATAATGTGTTTTTTTAACCTTAAACCGCATAAATACATTGCATTACATCAAATACACAAAATAATGTTCTTTTTAGCAACATCATATGACCCCTTTAAAGCCTGTCCACACCATAGACGAATATTTGGTGTGAAATTTTATTGCAAGAAACATTTTAATTTGAATGATGGCTGTTAATGCATATGTTCAGACTGACACAAATATCCGATGAATATCCAATTCAAATAATATTGTAACTTTTTTTTTAAGAGAGTGTAACTGTCGGGTTGGAAGTAATTTTCTCCATAGCAAAATAGATTTTTAATAGTGCTGTCAAACGATTAATCGCGATTAATCGCATCCAAAATAAAAGTTTTTGTTTACGTAATAAATGTGTGTGTACTGTGTATATGTATTATGTATATATAAATACACACGCATGTATATATTAAAGAAAAATATTGTTTATACATTAAATATATTTATATATAATATGAATATAAATGTATACATGTAAATATTTTCGAAATATATGTGTGTATTTATATATACATAATAAATATACACAGTACACACACATACTGTATATTATGTAAACAAAAACTTTTATTTTGGATGCGACTAATCGCGTTTAATTGTTTGACAGCACTAATTTTTAATGATAACTTATAAACCGTTAAAAAAAACAGACATACCTGTGAGTTCCAGGGTTGGTAAGTGATGGTGTATGCTCTTTACTGAAGCCATCAGTTTACATTATTTAAACCTATTTTGAGATAATCACATTAATAACAGCTGAATGTATGGTGAAAACTACATTACCCATGATGATGTATAGAAAATTCAACCAAAGTCACAGTGAGCAAATTGCGCCAAAAGAGCTTGGCAGGGACCGCCCAAATGGTTTGTGTATATATGAATATTTTTCAAAAAAATTAAAATACTGTTTTAATAGATATAATCAACAACTTTAAATCAGTAGTTTAATATTTGTTTTAAAAAAATTTAGTTTGTTTAATGGGATTGTAGTTCTTTCCCTCACTTAAGCCGTTAAATAAACTGTCAAATAGTTGGTGATGTCCATCTTCACTGTTGGAAAACTGATTCTGGTTTTAGTGCAGAAAAACCATAGGGTTGCTACAAAATATTTATGCACTATTGAATCTCAATTGCATGTTGGCTGCTGCAGATGCTTCATCAGGTGCACACTGAAGGTATTAAGTAAAGGTGGCCAGGCATGGTAATGACGACTAGAAGAGGCAGTCTTTTGAGGCCTGTTACTCTGTGTGTGAGGGGTTTGGATCAGGTACATCTGTTCTGTCAGTCTTATCTTATCTGCAGTGAGTGCTTCTTGAGTCTTGAAGACACTTTGAGGCTAACAGGCTGGAGAAACTGAGAATTTAAGAAAATGTGTTCATTCTGAGAGAGGCATGCTCTCCATTATTCAGAATCACTTTAGTGACCTTTATCAGTACCTGTTTTCATCCTGCTTTTTAAGCTAAGTACAAAATCCTGTTAGCTGTGCTGACAAGACAAGTTTCCACTGACTGGATTCTCACTGAGCTTGTGAAGTGCCTCGAGGTGCCTGTCATTGCAGCTCCCCCAGGTTGTATTCAGTTTCTAGGTGTGTGTGTGACCAATGCCAGAATCTCTTGTTGTTGTAGAATCTCACCCAGTTAATCAGGCCACGTTATCAGGAAAGAAACGGAAACTGACTCAAAGATGTTTGCCTGGCAAGGCTCTTGGTCACCTCGGCTAGCCTCTCGATGTAGAGATGTGTATCTCTGTGGGATGAGATGTAAATTCGAACAGCTGGGGAAGGTTGGTTATGGTCCTGGAGGGAGGCAAGCAACATAATTTCCATGCAGACTAGTGGTTGTACTCACCATTTAGGACATCATCAGGCCTTCTCTGAGAACATCTTCAGCAGCTCAACAGCAATTACTGCTTCTGACTTGAATGAGGAAGTACTGAATGATCAGACTGATTTGTATTAGTTGGAATCACTTTGGCACATTTTGATCATGCTTGTAAAATAATATTGTGAAATAGGCTATTATTACAATTTTTAGAAATGTTTTCCATTGTAATATATTTTAAAGTGTATTTTATTCCTGTGATCAAATCTAAAATTCCAGCATCGTTACTCCAGTCTTCAGTGTCTAAGATTTTTCAGAAATTATGCTAATATGCTGATTTGGTGTAGCATATTAAAAATTTATTATTACACTCTCAGAAACAAGGCACAAAAGCCATCACTGGGGCGCAGTACCTTTTCACTTTTGTACACTTAAGGTACTAATATGTACCTTTTAAGGTATCAGTATGCACCCTGTACAAAGGTGTATCTTTAGAAAAGGTACCGTCCCAAGCTTTTGTATACCTTTTTTTCTGAGAGCGTATCAGTGTTATGACATTTTAACACATTTATGTATGGATTGCAAAATATGAAGAATGCAAGCTGTACTTCATAGGAAATGTATTTGGTGTCAAGCAGCTGAGAAATATTATAATGTAATAAAGAGCAATTAATAAATCAGTTTATGTACTCTGTTATGCCATTTATGTACTGCTACGTAGTTGATAATTAACCTAAAGTACATTTTTTTACTGCTTTATTTAATCATTAATACTTTATGGTCCTCGTGTGTTACTTCTTAGTGCATTTTTCTGTAACTTGAACAAATCATGCAGCAGATAACTCAAATAACTTTGAATTCCATAGTTGGCAAAGCAGCAAGACTGTGCCAGATGCTTCTTACATTTTTGTTCCTACAGTCATAATGAGTGATAATATTTGCCACCTGTTTTCTCTGATGAAGAAGTTGGATTTTATAAATTAATTGAGAGAGTCAAGGTCTTAGTAAATTGTGTATAGTGGTTGTATAATAAAGTCTGCTGGTACTGACATTGATAGAGTAATTTCTTGATATGAATATTGTTGTGCCTAATATACTGTACAACCACAACAACAAATTTTAAGAGTATCCGAAAAGTCCATATGACTACCTCACGCCAATATGGCGCATGAGTTTAATGAACTACCTTTATGATATTTTTATGGCTTAAATCACACATTCCTTGTGTGTGAAACAGAAGTGTGTGAAACAGAAGCCTGATAAGTAATTTTGTGTTTCAAGAAAGATAAGAAGGGTTGGAATGACATGAGAATGAGTAATTGATGACAAAAAAACATTTTTAAGTCAATAATAATCACACTTAAGATTACCAAAAACCAAGATACACCCTTTTCTCTTTCTTTATCTATGTAAACCAAATTGCTTTTTAAAACCCAATTAATCAATGTGCTTTTTTGTCCTGTTTCAGTGAGAGTTTCTGGACATTATGCCAACTGAAGAAGTCTGTGACAGTGTTTCAGCAGAGGATGATGCTAAGAAGGGGCCTGATGTTCCTTTCCTTTTAGAAGAGCGTGTAAAAGAGAAATTGTCCTGGAAGGACGTGTTGAGAAAGAAGGTGGGAAAAAAGTGTTCCTGCAGTTCTGCTCAAATCAAAGCCCTTCTCGTAGACTCCATCCCAATCATGAAATGGCTGCCAAGATATCAATTCAAAGACTGGATCATTGGGGATGCCATGTCTGGCCTTATCGTGGGCATCCTCTTGGTTCCCCAGTCCATTGCCTATTCTTTACTGGCAGAACAAGACCCTATTTATGGGCTCTATACATCTTTCTTTGCCAGCATCATCTACACCCTACTGGGAACTTCCAGGCACATCTCTGTGGGGATGTTTGGGGTATTGTGTCTTCTGGTGGGACAGGTTGTGGACAGGGAACTTACTCTGGCAGGATATCCATCAGACACCAATCAGACCACATTGGGAAATGTGTACAACAGCACTGGTCCAGTCTGTGACCGAAGCTGCTATGCAGTCATGGTGGCAGCAACACTAACTTTCACAGCAGGGGTCTACCAGGTTAGTCAAGGTTAGTCTTCTTCTATCAGAATTTTTTAAATATCTAAATATATTAATTGCTCTGCTTGTGTTGCAGGTGTTGATGGGTCTCCTACAGGTTGGCTTTGTCTCCGTCTACCTCTCGGACTCTCTGTTGAGCGGTTTCGCAACTGGTGCCTCTCTCACCATCCTCACATCCCAGATAAAGTACTTTCTGGGCCTCCACCTTCCTCGTGTCCGAGGCTGGGGTTCGCTCATAAAAACCTGGATCAGTCTTTTCAAGAATCTGGGTCATACCAACCTCTGTGACCTCGTAACCAGCGTGCTCTGCTTGCTTGTGCTTGTACCCACCAAAGAGCTCAACGACCGCTTCAAGGCCAAGCTCAAGGCACCTATTCCCTTTGAACTCTTTGTGGTCATCGCTGCTACTCTAGCTTCCCACTTTGGACAGTTCGAGGAAACTTATGGCTCAGATGTAGCCGGCAACATTCCCACAGGCTTCATGCCACCGCAGCTTCCCAACTGGTCTCTCATGCCCAATATTGCCGTTGACGCGTTCTCAATCGCCATTGTTGGTTTCGCCATTACTGTGTCTCTGTCTGAGATGTTTGCCAAGAAGCATGGTTATATGGTGGACCCTAACCAGGAGATGTATGCTATTGGTTTCTGTAATATCATTCCTTCCTTCTTCCGCTGTTTCACGACCAGTGCCGCTTTGACCAAGACACTTGTGAAGGAGTCGACGGGATGCCAGACTCAGCTCTCGGGGTTGGTGACCGCTCTTGTGCTGCTGCTCGTCCTGCTTGTTATAGCACCTGCCTTCTACTCATTGCAGAAGTACGTACAAATTATGCCGTTTTCATGTTGAAATTGTCTAGACTTCACCTACACTGCCAATGGCAGTATAATTGTGTCCTCTTCTTCTCCGCAGATGTGTTCTGGCTGTCATCATAGTCGTCAACCTCCGTGGAGCACTGCGAAAGTTTGGGGACATTCCCCAAATGTGGCGTGTCAACCATGTGGACACCATCATCTGGCTGATTACTATGGCTACATCAGCGCTAGTGAACACTGAGCTAGGTCTACTAGTTGGAGTCCTGGTCTCTGCGTTCTGTGTGCTAGGCCGAACCCAGTCCACCCAAGTCCGTCAGCTAGGCCAAGCAGGGGACCGCGAGCTCTTTGAGGACCTTGCGTCCTACAAGGGTCTCCAGAGCCAGCCAGGGGTGTCTGTGTTCCGATACGAGGCTCCCATCTACTATGCCAACCACACTCTTTTTAAGAAGTCACTGTACCGCAATGTGGGTCTGGATCCGCTTAAAGAGAAGGCCAGGCGCAGGAAACTAGACAAGCAGAGGAATCAGAAACAAGGTGGAGAAGACCAAAAGCAAGAGATGGACGTGTCCACCAATGTGTATCTGCTACAGCACAACAGTTTGCACACATTGGTCATAGACTGCAGTCCAGTGCTGTTTCTGGACACTGCTGGGGTCAATGCTTTGAAAGAAGTATGCAAGGACTACAAGGGGCTGGGAGTCGATGTGCTTTTGGCGCAACGCAACCCCTCCGTCATTGATTCTTTGCGGAAGGGAGGGTATTATGACCCAAAGAAAGGGACCAAAGAAATACAGTTTCACACTCTTAGTGATGCCGTCTCTTATGCACAAAGCTTGAAGTCACAAAATGGCGATTGTGACACTGTTGTGTAACAATTTGTAATGTATTTGTGACGTGAGGGGCGGGGCCGAGAGCCGTGGGAATGGAGCGAGGCCGGTGGAGTAAATGCTAATGCGCGACACCTGCGCCACTCACCGGTCTCGAGTCCCACGGAGGAGCTCCGGAAGGATAAAAGAAGGAGTGACGACAGTGTTGGACGAGAGAGGACCAGGCCTGGATTTTATTTTGTGTTTTGGTTCTGTTTGTGCGTGACAGTCGTCCGCGAGGGGCTGTTTTGTGTTTATTATAAGTATATAAGTTTTGTTTAAATCTTCGCCGGTTCCCGCCTACTTCTTCCCATGACTACGAACTGTGTTACCGAAAGTTTTTTTTTTTTTTTTTCTATGCAATTAAAGTTAATGGGGTCCAAAACATTGACTTGCATAAAAAAAAAAACCTTAATCATTACTAAAAATATAAAGTCATACAGGTTTGGAACCACATGAGGGTGAGTAAATGATGACAGTTTTCATTTTTGAGAAAACTATCCCTATACCTTCTTAAAATGGATAAGTAATCATCTGTTTATATCTGTTATTGGAAAAAAAAAAACAATGTGCTGTGTTGTGTTCTGCAGGACCTTTAAATAGAAGTTCAAACTTTGTTAACTGCAAGTCCTTGTGTATCTCATAGCCTTTGTCTAGTCAGGATGACGATCAGGTTTTTTTCTGGTCTTAAAATTATGTATTTTGATATCATTTATACATCTAATAACATGTTTAGCTTATTTTAAATAGCTAAAACTCAGTATTCGAGGGCTTAATTTTTCTACATGAATAGAAATGATTTATGCTAGACAAGATCCAGCTTGTATATTTACTCTTTATTTCCTTCCACTCTAGCTCATTCAGTCAGAATGATATCTTATATAATCTCATTTGTGACATTTACCCAGCTTTATGGGTACTTGTGCATGTTCAAATGACCATAAAGCTTGGATAATCTGAGCGCTTGTTGTCTGGGTGAATGCAAGTTGAACTCTTTCACCCAGTCATCAGCTGTTTACCTCAATTGCAGAAGCACCAGAGAGTGTGCTGATGTGCCTTGTCACTGTGACTGTGCAGCCACAGAGCAACTTTTGAAAATGTGCATCATTTTGAGAGCAAAGAGGGCTCAGGTAGAGCATTTTAATGGCATTGTGTCTGAACCTGTTGAACAGGTCTGAACCCAGGCTCAGGGAAATGACATAATCTGTCCTCCTATTGGCTGAAATGGAACAGGGTATGAATACAGATGATATTTCTAAAATGCTGGAGCTTTTGCCAGATATATCACTGATAGAATGCTAGCACAAATGGAAATAGAATTTTAAACATATGCCTTTTAGGGCAAACTAGGAACTATTTATGTAGTTTTTATCTTATGTAGTGTACACTCTTAAAAATAAAGGTTCCCAAAGTGATGCCATAGAAGAACCATTTTTTGGTTCCTTAAAAAACTTTCAGAGTTCTTAAAATAACCTTTTTTTTTTCTTAGTGTGAAGAACATTTTAAAGGATGTTGTGTGCAATGGAAAGGTTCTATGAATGTTAAAGGTTCTTCATGGAACCATTAATGCCTATAAAGAACCTTTATTTTTAAAGAATATATGGTGATGCTTTATTTGCTGAAACATTTCTAATAGTTTTTAGTTCATGCTTTTGGATTGTTTCTGTGTTTTACTTTGCATTAGAATTACTGCAGTGGAGGCTTTATTTAATTGTTAAAGATGTATTTTATATTCTTAAAATGTCTCTATATATACAAATTCAGGTATTCCCATATCTATGCAACTAGATATGACTACAGTATATACCGATTATTTGTAATCACTGATATTGGCAGGAAACCTATATCTTTCATGTAATGTGACATTTTGTCTTCTACAAATGTAATTTGCATTGTAATTAATACAAATAAACTAAATGTTTGCAGAAAGCGAAGTTGTCCTTGTCTTGATTAGAAATCAACAAAATTGGATTTTCCTTAGCATCAGGTGCTTCCTTTGACAGTCTGCTGAATGAATATTTTATTCTGTGATTTTAGTGTTTTTTTTAATAATTTAAACAATTTAAATCTAAAATTTAAATGAGTGAGGGGGAACCCAAACTTATTCTGTTTAGTGCATGCTTTGAGAAAAGCTGCTTTAACTCAAAGCTACCACCAGTGTGCAGCATTGTTCTGCAGCAGATCATGTGTCTAGTCTTTAAAGGGATAGTTCATCTGAAAATGAAACTTCTGTTACCGTTTACTCACCCTCATGTTGTTCCAAACCAGTATGACTCATTTCTTCTGCAAAACACAAAAGAAGATATTTAGAGGAATGTCTAACCTATATTATTTATGTAAGAAATAAAGTCATAGTGCAGGTTTGGAATGACATGAGAGTGAGTAAATTATAACAAAATGTTATTTTTTAAGTGAACTATTGCTTCAACATTAAAAATGCTGACAAACCCCCTAAATTTATGGCATTTTGCAGATGAAAATGTACTGAAGTTCCAGTGTTTTATGCAGCTGCTGACAGGTAATTTTTTTTATAGGAACCTGTGTGCTTTAAAGTTTGGCGTGAGAACTGTGCATGCCAGCACATCTGCAGTTTATGATGCCTTCAGATTCTAGGGCCAGTTTGTCTCCTGTCAAAAGTATTTTATTTTTGTCACATGTACGAGGCAGCCAGAGAGAAAGGATGTCTGAAAGACATGGAGCATCTCAATGACTTTAGCAGGTGTTGGGATGGCAGAGGAGACAGCAGCTGTCTGTTCTTTCATCGGGATTCTGACAAGGACAAGACCTCTGAATACACACAACCTGTGTTAAAATGCAAAAAAAAGCTTTGCAGTGCAAATAAGCATGTTTTCAATGTAAATTTAGCAATTACATAAATATATTTGTTAACACTTTCTATGAAGCATTCATATACAGAATAATGGTCAAACAATACATTGATACAATACTGTTACACAGCTATTTAAGGAATTTCACGTGCGCAAAACTGGTTGTTCCAAAAATCCAAAAATGCACAGGTTATCACAATCATGTTGATATTAAAAGTAGTAACAGTTCAACCAAAAAAAATAAAAAATAATACTTACTTTCAGACCATCAAAGTTGTAGATATTTTTTCTTAATTGGAACAGATTTGGAGAAATGTAACATTATATCACATGTTCACCAATGGCTCCTCTGCAGTGAATGGGTGCCGTCAGAATGAGAGTCCAAACAGCTGATAAAAACATCACAATAATCCACAAGTAATCCACACCACTCCAGTCCATCAGTTAACATCGTTTTAAGTGAAAAGCTGTGTGTTTCGAAAAAACAAATCCATCAAGATGTTTTTGCCAATGTTTTCGTGAGCTCCAGGGCACCAGCGGGATGAATCCATGAACCCACAGAGAGCAACCTCACCTCAGCCAGATCTTCTGGAAATTGCTCTGATGTCTAGTGGTTAAACATAAGATATAATTCGTTTTGGTCTCATTAATCTGTTAATTGTTCCAGAGCAAATAGTTTTGGCTGAGTGAGAAGTCTCATAACTTTATATTTGTATATAACTAATGCTGTATCAGAGCGCTGCCTTTGCGACTGAATTGCTTAGCAACTTCTATAATGGCAATTGTGGTATATTAAATATTATTGTTCAATAAAAAATATTTTATGTAAGTAGGCTAATAGTATTTATTAAAAGTATTTGGTATTGGGAAACTGTATGGGGATTTTCGCTACTTTGTTTTGCCATTAGATGGCGACAAGAGACTGTTTTTTATGAGTGAGTAAGCAGTAAAGACTTTTTGAAAGACACTCAACCAAGTCAGCCAACAAATGCGCTGAGCAGCGTTATCATGGAAAATCTGTTTAAATGATAGTATGACAAAGATATCGCTTTCGTCAGCGGACAGCCAAGCAAATGTATTATTGTGAATATGAGATTGAGCTGAAGAATGCATGCTGTATAAGACACAGGTAATCACACTCACCAAGTCCATCTCTCTCTCATAATACTCTACTCTTCATAATACAGTGAGCTTTTAATAACGTAATACAGTAAGCTTTCAAAGAAGCAACTCAACGTTCTTTTGTTACTAGTTCTAAAGTGAAATTTTCAAATGAGTAATGGAGGCTTGGGCTGTTAAACTGTAATTTGAGGTTTTATCTGAGATCTGAGATTTGATTCCGTGGCGGAAGGAAGTAGTTCCACACACGGAATGTTTTTTTAAGACACTCCATGGTTGTTTCTTATTTATGCCGTTGAACTGTTGTTTAAACGCAACAGCACACTCGTAGTCCTGTGTGTGATATTGCTAATTTATGGACTTGTATTTCGACCTTACGTTAAAATGCTTTAAAGATCCTCTGAAATGCTTAGAAACATGCAGCGTTACTCTATGTGTTGACGTAATTTTAAAGGGGTCATATGATGTTGCTAAAAAGAACATTATTTTGTGTATTTGGTGTAATGAAATGTGTTTATACGGTTTAAGGTTAAAAAAACACATTATTTTCCACATACTGTACATTATTGTTTCTCCTCTATGCCCCGCCTTTCTGAAACGCGTCAATTTTTACAAAGCTCATTGTTCTGAAAAGCAAGGTGTGCTGTGATTGGACAGCTATCCAGTGCGTTGTGATTGGCCGAATTCCTCAAGCGTGTGACGGAAATGTTACACCCCTTGCATACACTGTATTTTTCCCTTGCAAAGTTGGATGCAGTATGGCTGCATAGCCAATCTAGATCACGTTTTTACACATTTTTTGAAGAGGAAAAAATGTGATCTTATCTGTTCCAGTAGCTACTATACATCCATTTCATGCATCCTTTCTTTCTGTTGCTCCTGAGTATTAGGCCCTTACACTGGAGAAAACAATATTATGGATAGAGTTTGAAGTTTTTTGAAAACATTTTAAAGATGGATTTTTATATTGTGGATTACTTGTGGATTATTGTGATGTTTTTATCTGCTGTTTGGACTCTCATTCTGACAGCATCCATTCACTGAGGATCCATTGGTGAGCAATTGATGTAATGTTAAATTTCTCCAAATCTGTTCCCATGAAGAAACAAACTCATCTATATCTACATGGCCTGAGGGTTAGCA